TATTTACATATATATTCTAATTTTTTTAATCATATTTATTAAATTTATTTTAAAATTATCCATTAATTAATAATAAAATAATATCATAGTAATTAACTATTATTAATTAATTAAATATTATTTTTCTTAAATACCGTGTCACTGAAAGTGATAAATTATATTGGGATGGAGAAAATATTATTTTGTAATAATTTTCTAAAAACAAAAAATTTGTGGACCCACCATTTTAATAATTATCATTAATAATTTTTTCTTTTTATATTTGTATTGTATTTTGGTATTTTGCTTTACTTTAGTATTAATAAATTATGGAATTAAATAATTACTTAATATAATATTAATAAATATTTATGTAACATTTTATATAAAGATATTTTTTTTTTTACCGCCTGTCATCAAAACTTTTTTTTTTATTTTTTATTTTTGTTGTTATTCAAATTTATTTTGATTTTCATTTTTATTAAAAATATACTATTTTATTTATTTATTTATTTTGATAAAAGGAAAATATTTATATTTTTATTTACTTTTTTTTAAAATATGTGCTAATCAAATGGACATATTTTTACATAGACCGATGAGGTATGATATATGCGGAAGCTGTGGTAACATAAAAGAAAAAATATTTTTTTTTGTAATATAAAATTGTAATACCTCGGAATTGTAATACCTCGGAATTGGGCCGGTACTAGGCCAACTTCCGGGATGAGTTGGTGTCAGGTCATTCGATATTGAATATAAGTTAAATGGGTTAAATGGATTAAATTGACTACTCATGTCAACAATATGCACATTTCTTTTCGGAAGCTCTACTGAAAGAATTATGGTGCCCGTTTACAATCCCGACATGCCCGGCTTGCAGGTCGGGGTGTCACAAAAAATAATACTCCATCCGTCCCGGATATTTTGTCCGTTTTACCGTAGACACGAGAATTTATGAGGGGTATAATTTAGTAAATAATTAAAAATGTATTAGTAAAAATAATTATCATATAATAAAAATAATTATATATTAAGATTAAGATAATTGATTAGTATAATTAAAATTAAAAAAAATTATAAATGAAATTTTTAAAATAAAATTAAAATGAGATTGACGGAAATGGAAAAGTGAACATGAGAAATAGAACGGAGGGAGTAATATTTTGTATTAAATTATTAATTTTTATGAGTAAATAAAATATATATTATTATATACATTGTGTTGAACATGTATATTTTATACTTTTTTGTTAATATTAATCAAAATTCATGTCGGCTGAATATTATTAGGTGAGCACGCTATTTTGATATTTCTTCTATATTTTAAAAATAGTAAGATTTTTATTAAAAATAATTATTTAATGTAATATAAATAAATATTTATGTTTTTAGATAAAATATGTATATATATGTTTTTAAAAATAAAATATTATAGGAGTATTAGTTTGTTTGAAAAATAATTATTCACTTTTAGTATAAAGTTTAAATAATATGTAATTTTCAGTATTTTTTGTATGTAAATATACTTCTTAATCTTTAGCGTAATTGGGGTTTATACGAGAATAAAAAAAAAAAATTAAATATTTTATTAAAATAATACTAATGTAAATAATTATAAATTTAAAAGTATTTGTAATATACTATAATAGAGTTAATAGTCACTAAAAACTTTAATAATTTATATTTGAACCATTTTAAATGACAAAGTTGTAACATTTCAAATAAACAAAAAATAACATCTTATTATAAATAAATAGTAGAAATGAACGATTAAAAAGACAATCAATCAAACAATACATTTAATTTTGATATTTTACAATTTTAATAATTTTTAATATATATATTTTATTAATGTATACTATACAAAATAAAAACAAATATATATATTATTCAATTGTCTAGCATGTATAGAAAAAAGATATTTTAATTAAATATTTTGTCAAATTAAAAATAAGTGAATAAAAATTGGCAAATAGATAAATAACATGGACTAAGAATTGTATTAACTTACATATCATTTATGGTTGTGTTTACCTTAAGGGATTAGAATATATAATACAATTTTATTTAATTTAAATTGTATCTTTGTCGGATGCTAACGACCGTCTCACCTAAAAACTTAAACTGTTAGAGAAATTCAATCATTATTCATATATCTGCAAACGAGAGTCCTAGTAGTGTTTACTTTAAAGAGATTAAAATTCAGGATTAATTAAAGTTCCGCATAGTAAAATACACTATTTAAGGATATGAGATTAATTTATTCTAATTAATATTTGTATCAATGTCTATATTATCGTATATTTAATCGAATAAAATAAATATGATACAATTTTACAAAATAAATATACTATATATATACATTTACACATAATATGCTAGGCTAATAACGACAATTTTGTTGATCATATGCCACCATTGCTACATGCTAAATGTTTACATGGACTGTCATGCTAAATGTTTACATGGACTGTCATCCAAAATGCTTTGTGTTAGGTATACGAGAATGTGTGTAGTATATGTAAGGACAAAAAAAAAAAAAAAAAAATTAGAAATATTGTAAATAATAAAGAATATTTACTAATATTTAAGAGAACTTTAAAATATTCATCTATGTTGTGTGTATATATATATATATATATATATGTTTTTAAAAACATTATAAATAGTAAAGAATATTATTGACATGTGTGTTTGTTTGAAGGTTTGGATTTTGAGTTCGGGATTTGAATAGTAAAAATTTTGAATTTGAATAGTTGTATGATGTGATATAAATAGGTGGTGATGTGATGTTTTGAATGTAAAATTAATTTTTAGTATAATATAAAAAATGAAAAATAGGTGTTTGATTTGATGTTTTTTAGGGAAAAAAATATGATGAATAAATATATAAAGAAAGAGTTTCCAACATATTTTATAACAAATGATTGAAGAAATATGAAATAGTATTGAAGTATTTCGAGAATGAAGTAAAAAAAAAAAAAAAAAAAGACACAATACATGTTACGGTGATCACAAGTAATGTAATGTTGATCGAAAACAAATTTAAAATAAAATTTTTTTCATCCATGTCAATATTTCTAAATAATCCCAATATTCCTCCAAGTTTGCATAAAGAAACATGTGATAATATAAAAGTTAGAGTCATAACTCCAATATTATTTTTCGGGAAAAACTTTTACTTACCGATGATGCAAACCCTCGATTTTATTGGCATTAACATGGGGGCCAAGCTCTATTCAAATACTGTCTTTCAACTTTTTTTCGCAATTTTCTATTGCTCAAATGTTTTTAAGTGTTTGCTACTTTTCCAATACAAACTATAAAAATACACTTCGAGAAACCTTGCTAAAACACAAAACTTATAACCAAATAATAATTCAATAATTAACCTAGCTCAAGATTCAAGTGCGATCAACAATTCAAACTTCACTTTTTTTTTTGTTGGACGTTCCAAAATATCGATATTTTTCTCATAATCTTCGTCCTTCATTTCTGGAGGGCCCATATTGAATTGTTAGAGTCTAAATTCGTCAAATGAAAAGAAAACCATGATAAAGTATTACACATATGATAAAAAGATTAAAATAAAACACTCAAATTAAGATGTGGACAGAAAACATGATCAAATATACCGGAATTAAAGATAAAAGAAAAAATAACATTAATTACAAGAATAATAATAATCATGAATATTGCAGCAGCATCCATATATCTACCGTAGTGAACAATTGGCAAAAACACAATAAAAAATCGATATTAACCAAACGTATTAGGATCCAAACCTTAATTTTTTATTTTTTATTTTCAAAAGAAAAACAAAGTGACGTACTATCTTATAAATATATTAGATAATACTTCACTTCACCATTTTTAACTTACTTAATACTTTTGTTCTATCAACCTATCACAATTTCAATTAAGATGTTGTGAAATGTTACTTAATACTTTTGTTCCATCAACCTATCACAATTTCAATTAACATGTTATGAATTGAAAATATGATTAATTTCAATACTTTTTCCATCTCTTTTTGATATAAAGAAATGGATCTCCATTTTACTGTACTATCTATTTTTTATTTTCATTTTTTTACTATTAGACTGAGATCATCACAGCTCTTATGTTTGATTGAGCTAATCTAGTTGGTTAATATATCCCTATTAAAATTTAAATTACTTTTTGCAAATGATTTTATATTGAGATATTAAATTGAAATAAAATTACAAAGAATGTTTGAATAGAAATGCCTCTAGTCAAAATAATTATATGAATATATATTAGTATACACAACTTTTCATATATATATATATATATATATAATAGTTTCATAAATTCTGCGTCTAACCACCCGACCATCCTTATTTAACAGTTTTTGACCAACACGCGCTCAAACTGCGAATGAATTTCAAAATCTTTATTTCTAAATCCTTGAGATTACAAAAATATTCATTGTTCTTATCATTTAACCTCAAGAAACAATAAATATATTAAGAAATAGTTATATTTCTCTAGATTTAAAAGTTTTTCTTTAATGTTTTTTAGGTTTAATATAAGATAAATATATATTTATAGTTTTTAGGAGTTTAGAAATTAATATTTTAAAATTCATTCACAGTTTGAGCGCATGTAGATCAAACACCGTTAAATATGGACGGTCGAGAGGATTAGATGCAGAGTTTATAAAACCACGAGGGAGTTTGACACAATTTGAAAAGTATTGAGAGTTTTGTACAATTTTGTGAAATCACAGGTAAATATTGTGTAATTTAAATTTTTTTTTCTTTATTGCATTTTTCTTTTATTTCTTCTAAATTAAATTTATCTTATCTCAAATCTTGTATTGATAGATTTTGCACTCAAACATACTGATGCGTATCCCTAATAGCTCGATCATCTAACAAAAAGCAAAACAATTCAAAACAATGAACACAAGAAGGAACACAAGAAGGAACACAAGCAGCAAAGAGTGAATACTACACAACATTAATCAACTCCAAACAAAAGTAGTGTTTGCAACTAATCAATACAAAAACAAGCTAAGGATGTGTACAATACAGAGAAATAATAAGAAGAGATTCTCGATTGAAACCGATCCGATCATCGACTCATGAGCGAATCCAAGTCGCTTCGGCACAATCGTAGCATAACCAAACGGAACACTTATTAGTGCATTCGAAGGCGATGCCATCTTCTTCCCGGCACTTAATGATGTATCCGCATCTACAACACGGGTATTGGTAGTTAGTGAGTATCCGAATACAAGTGACGGGACAACCATGGGAGCGAACACGAAGAGTCCCTCCGAATTTGATCTTCGAAAACCATCCAACACAAGGAATGCACATTATGTGGAATAATGTGTTACATTCTTCGCAATGATAGAACCAACTATCCGTGTAGGTATCGATGCCCATTTCACAAATCTCACAAAAATCTCTATCGACATCGACTTTGGAATCAGTTAGAAATCCGGATGTCGAAGCTAGCTCTAATCGATGCTTATCAAATTTGTGCGAAACACTCGATGGAAGAAGAGCACAACGAGCGTGCAACGTGAAATTAGGACAAGTGCAACAAGTATAGAATAAGCTCCCGATGAAATAGTTGCAACATTGGCATATATGAGTGGGAACATCGTATCGAGCGAATGGATACGACAAGAAAAGAATGTGCGACTTCCCATGTCTCTCATAAGTGATGGCTTCCGGCAACGAAGCGCACTTGACGTCCAAAATGAAATAACAAGCCTTACAAAAATAGGCGAATCCATTGCACGGTTGCGAGCAACCTAAGCATTGAAACAAAGAAAGGAAATTGCCCGATAATCCGGTTACAAGAACAAGGGGCTTTCCTTTGCAATCCGGGGAATACATTCCATGCGCCGGATGTTGATACTCGGAAGGTAGATTTGCGCAACAAGCGTGGAGGTAGAAATCGTTTCGATATTGAGGGCAACTATAAAATGGATTCGATAGTATGGGTTCGATGCAAGCATTACACGAGGAAGAAGACTTACAAAGGCTTTCGACATCACCATTTTCGTCGTCGTGAAGGATCAAATCGTAACCGTAGATTTTCTTTTCCATCGACGACGACACCGTGCTTCCTTCTTCTGCCGCGGCGGCGGCGGCGGCATTGTTACTTGTGGTTTTTAAGAGAGTGTACATTAAGGTTGTAGTCTCGTCCGGCATTGGCAAATGAATAAGACTTCGGGCTGCATCTTTGCTTTGTACTGTGTAACAGTTCTCTATCAATCTATATGACTTACATATATATATATATATATATATATGCGTGTAAATACATTAACTTTGCTTACCAGGGTAGGCTGACTTTTGAAAGGTTCGAGCAAAATAAAATAAAGGTCCTAAATATATATAAATAATTTTTTTTTATTTATAATAAAATATAAATAATTAAATATGATGTCTTTTTCCTAATATTTTTAGATAAAAAATTGTATTACAAATTACAAATTTTTGTAATACTATGCATATATATAACCTTACCTTTATAAAAAAAAAATACACATTTAAACCGCCAAGCTACATTCTTTAAAGTTAAAAAAATATCAAATAAATTATATATAAAAACTATATATATAACATAAATGTATAAGAAACTGTCTATTTAATCTTAATATATAATTATTTTTATTAATATATTTTTAATTATTTACTAATCATATTTCTCTTGTATTACCGTGTCGAGCCATAGCGGAGAGGAAGAGGGTATTTAATTCTTTTTTTCTTTTAATTCACAAACCATTTTTGAAATCTAGTATTTACAATATTTTAAAATGTAGTATTCATTTCTCTCTCTTTATTTTCTTTATTTCCTTTTCTTTTTAACACTTACATAACTAGATAAATGCATCTACTCCTAAAAAGCTCGATTCGACAGGATGAAATATTGCAAATTTTATAAACCAAAAGAATAAGAAAGAGATTCATAATAAAGAGTGAAAAGAAAAAAATAAAAAAGAAAGAATAGGCATAATATATATATATATATATATATTGTAGTTACCTCGACGATATTTAGCAGGATCCGAAGTTGCACATTTGATGTGAGCAGCATATTCACACCTTGTGCAAAAATATATTCCACATTCGATGGACGACAACAGATTTTCTTGATCATTGCAAATAAAACAAGTGCCAAGCTTTTGGAATTTCAACGACTCCCTGGGAAGAATGTAAGTAAGAACAAGAGCATGGTGTTTGTCGTCGCCGTCGCCGTCGCCATCGCCATCGCCATCTTGTACGCCGTGTTTCTCATGTAGAATCGTATTAGGCAGCAGCGCGCAATCCCAATGGAGGTAAAAATTACAAAACTTGCACCAATAGTACTCAACCTTGTCATGCTTCGATCCACAAGCACCGCAAGTGAACAAGAAATTAGTATCCCCCGCGATGAAAGGGACTAATTCATGTTGGTGGCTTCTATGCACAATTGTGATTGTCGAAGCACACAACACATCGATAAAAAAATCACAATAAGGCTCGGGCTCGGGGCATTTGTAGATAAATCCCTCGCATTTTCTGTCGCAACTCTTGCAATTAGGAGAGAAGAGTTGATCATAATGTTTTTTCAAGAGAAGTGGTTTGACGTGCAAAGGATGCCCTTTTAAAGAGTCGGGGAGATTAGCGCAGCTATTGTGATAATAATCACCCTCGCCCTCGCCCTTGTTGTCGTTCTTATATGCACATGGAGTAGAGAAGATGGGGAATGCACACGCCTTACATAAGATTTGATTTCCTTCATCGGGATTAAGGTCATTTCCTTTGACGGTGTTGTCGCTAACATGCCTAACGGTTCGCAAGTGGTCGGACAAGGACTCGCGTTGAAAAGAGGTTGTCGGGTTGAGCAATGGCCTCCTCACTCTCGTTGAGACATTATTAGCATCCATATTTTGTAAGAGGAAAGCACCGATGTATACGCTAGTTTTTGGCTTCCTCTCTTAACATAGCGGAAGACAATATGTATATAAGAGAGAGATCGAATATTATTCCATAAGGAACACTACATTAAATCACTATTAGGTTCATACTTCGATACCTTTGGGTCTTGCCTTACCAGGCTTTATTTGCAGAATATTAGATGTGATCGAGAGTTTTCTATGTCATCAAATATATATATATATATAATAATAACAAAAAAAAAATTTATAAAATACAAATCTAAATACCCAAAGTATTCTGTAATATCCCAGAGTTGAGCCGGTGCTAAGCCAATTTCCGTATATGGATGAGCAGTGCTAGGCAATTCGAGATTGAATTGAGATTAAGTGGATTGAATAGTCAACAATATGGAAGAACTCTACAATTAACCGTGTGTCCTTGCCTAAATTAATTTGAGGATGAGTGACCCCTGAGAGATCTCTCAGGGTACGCATGAGTGAGGAAAGAAGCGGATTGAAAGGACTCGTATTAACTTGTAGGGTTAGTCTAACAATCTTGACACGCCCGACTTTGTATGACTTGTGGGCCGAATGTCACAATTCAGTATAATTTAATATAATATGTATTTGATTTAGTCCATTTTCTGTCTTTTAGGTTTTAACATAAGTGTTGTTCATCGTATAATAGTTCAATATATATATATACTTTCTTTATAAAATTTACACTTTAGTATCAACTTAATACATCTATTCTATGCAACGAAATTTAAGAAATCAGGTTAAAAATGCACATACAAAAATTCGAGAATTTGCTAACCTAATTCAGCTAGTTCACGTCTGGAAGTGGTTAATCAAATATTTTCACTAATATTTTCATATTTGTATTTTTCAAAAAGTACAATATGTAGTAAACCCTAGTAATCCGCAGCCTAGAACTGTACAGACATTTCAAATTCGTTTGCCTCTAAACTTTTTTTTTTTACTATTTGGACTGTATTTTCCGAAAAAAATTATATATTTTTTTTTAAAAAAAATATTTCATCATACATTATTTTAATACTAAATCTAAACTAAAATTTTCTCAAACTCATCAAAAGAAACATGCCCAAAATTCTCCGGACTTCAATTGGGGCTTTACAGTGTGACATTTTATACCACTTGATATATTTTGATATGCATGTCAACATATTTTTTTATAACGTTAAGAATAAAATAAAATCAGCAAATGACTTAAACGATCTACGCAGCATATCTGATATATCTCTGATCTATATGTCAATTGTAATAGGTTAAGAATTAGGGTTTTAACTCAATATATATTGAGTTAAAACCCTAATTCTTAACCTATTACAATTGACATTATATTGATTTAAAACCCTAATTCTTAACCTATTACAATTGACATACCCTTATATTCACATCTAATTAGAGGTTCATATTTGTCTTTTCTTGCTGTGAAAAATCAAACCCCAAAATAACCTGAAATCCTCAAATCTGAACGCAATATTAATATATTTCTATCGGGTGCAACTCAATTGTTTCGTTTCAATTGATAGCCTAAATAAATTTGAATAACACAACAAGAAACATACTAGAAAAAATAAAATAAAACTTGAGACGATGAATGGCTATAGTCATTATGGGTGATGAACTACACTGGTAACTACAGGTGACAGGTGACGGCATAGTAGACATGCTTCACCGGCGGAAAGAAGAAAAAACAATGTATTAGAAATGTAAATAAGAAAAATAAAAAGGTAAACTATATAATATTCTCGTGTATTTTAGTAAAAATATAATAAATATTTTGTATTTTATTTATTGTGTAAAATCTCTTTTGTAAAAATACCGTTTGCACAAAAACATCATTTTCGTCCAAAATTGATATTTGGATATAAATATAAACCTAAGTATGTAAGTTTTATCCAAACAAAAGAGATAAATATATTAAATAGTTTTTTTTAATAAAATAAATAAATAGATAATTTATTAACTCTTTATTTTATAGTTTTTAAGAAACAAACTATCATCCAATTTCTACAAAAACTATAAAAATAAAGAATCGACCAATTATTTATTAATTTATTTTATTCAAAAAAAATTATTTAAAATATTTTATTTTTTTATTTGTATAAAATTTACATAATTTAGGCCCATATTTACAACCAAACACCAACTTTGGACGAAGACGGTATTTTTTTGCATACTTTAATTTAACACGAGAGAGTTTCACGTAATAAATAAAATACGAACTATTTTGTAGATTTTTAATAAAATAAAAAGGAATGTTACATAATTTACTTTTAAAATAATAAATTTGGAGGAGGGTTAGGGTTTAGTCCTTTTTTTTTTTATTCAACTTGAACTTGACATTCCTAATTTTAATTCATGTAAGAAATTAAAATACATATACATATATATATATATATCTTGTATTCAATCATAGTTTAACCTAATTATATGTTTATATAAGACATGGTTAAGTGAGATTAAGTAAAATGAGTACTTTTATCAATAAATGGGTTCATAGCAAATTATACACTGGCCTCTTTTTCACATAAGCAAGAATAAATTATAAAGGGAAAAGCTAAGAGGAGAAAGTAAAAAAGAGAATAAATGGATAGATAATATGTAGAAGAAGCAATTTTGATGCTTTTATTTTTATTTTGGATTTGAAGGGTGTGTTTGTTTTTGTATTTTGGTTCGATATAAAAATAACAAGTGGGTGTAATATATTACTCCCTCCATCTACTTATGGTGTCCACATTTTCATTTTCCTAATTTGGTTATGGAGTTTGAACTCATAACCTCATGATTACGAGTCTAACCTCTACATCACCAAGCCATCCCTTACAGACTTTAATTCCATGTTTTGAATAGAAAATAAAGGGTTTGTTTGCTAATTTTTTTCACCCAACATTATTTTTAATAAATATATATTATATTCTTACAGAAAATCAATACTCATAATAAAATATGATTTTTTTTTGTTATTTATACGATTTCTAATATTTTACATTAAAAAAAGAATACTTGAAATCAAAACAGTAAACAAATAAACGATAGTGATTTGTTTGGGGATTTTAATTTTGAGTTGGGATTTGAATAATAAAAATTTTGAATTTGAATAGTTGTATGATATGATATAAACAGATATTGATGCAATGTTTTGAATGTAATATTGATTTTTAGTATAATATAACAAATAAAAAATAGGTATTTGATTTGATGTTTTTGGGGAAAAAATGGGATGAACAGTGGATTTAAATCCAATTCCCAAACAAATGGTACAGAGAAATGAGGTCAGAGAAATGGAAATGGTACAAACAAGAGAAATGATACCATTTTTATTTCTATGTTTTCATTATTCTCCCATATGCAGAGAAATAATGTTGATTTTTTTTTTTAATTTTTAAAATTTGTTTATACTATTTCATTTTTATAATTTTTTTAAAATTATATTATTTTAATTTTACAAAAAAACAAACTTAATTTATTTTTAAAGTATTTAATTTTTACGATATTTTAATAAATTGTACTAAAATATAATCTTTAAAAACATCGTATATAATTATAATTTTTTTTAAAAAAAAATTTACCAAAAATATTTTTCATGAATTTTCATTCGGTAAAACTCTCTTTTTATCGAATTAATCATTTATTTTTATTTAATCATTCATATATCTGCATTTTTATTTTAGATTTCTCAAATGAAATTGTCTATTTTATCAAACAAGATAATTAATTCTTATTCTCTACTCAATTCCATTTCTCTCTAATTCTATTCTTTGCTCTCATTTCTCTGCAATTCCATTATATTGTCTATTTTCATTGTTTTAGATCTTTCTAAGATATATATTTTGCAAAGTAAAAGAAAAAGAATATATATTGCAAAGTAAAAGAAAAAGAAAAAATAAAAGGAGAAAGAAATACAAACGGATACAACGGAAGATTGTGGGTTAAACTTATTCACACTTTTCTAAGAAATTATTTTGTTTCTTCAATTGGAAGCTAACATTTTTGGTCGAATGAAATTTGGAGAAAGAAAAAGAAAAAGATGCTTAGTGACCAATAAAAAAACTGAGGTTGTGTTCTTGTTTTCGTTTGACAAACCTTTTAAGAATTTTTAATCCCATCGTCCCGTAACAAAGTATTTATTTTTCCATTTTAGTCCATCTCATAATAAAGTATCTATTTTTTTTTAGCAACTGTACTATCTACCTAACATTACAAATACCCTTACAACTTACAAAATATTACACAAATGTCATTACCTTTATATCACACGTACTAATAAAGTTATTTTAGTCATTTCTACTTTATTCCTACTATATCCCAAATAATACTAATATTTCTAAAACTACGTGCAAATAGCAAATGGATATTTAGTTTCGGGACGGAGGGAGTATTATTTATCAAAATTTTTCTTAAAAAAAATATCAAATTAAATATATATTTTTTATATTTTATATTATATTAAAATTGCAAAACATTACATTCATACCTAATTTATATGAAAAATAATTTTGTAGTTAAAAATAAAATTTTCTAGCAAACAAATTAATTTTGTAGTCACTACAAGAAAATATCAATTGTGTAACGATGTTTTTTCGTTTTTAAATCCACTTTTTCCGTTACTAATGATATTAGAGACAGAATTAGAGATGAAATTACGTTAGCTACGTGAACTTTAGAAACGGAATTCCGATATAAATATATATTTTTTTTTTGTAGTGAGTACATAATTTATTTTTAACAATAAAATTAATTTGTTGCTAAATAACACGTTTTAACTACAAAAATACTTTATAGTTAAAAATATTGTAGCTAATTAGAAAATTTTTTTGTAGTGAATAAATATAAAAAGAACAAAACATAAGTAATTATATTATGTATTTATATTTTTAGAATCATGTAGAAAAATATAAAAATAAAAAATAAAATTGTGCACGGACAATTAAAAAAATTATAAAACAATTGTAAAAAAAAATTATGTAAAACTCACTTCGCAAATGTAGTTTGAAATTT